ATTTTGACAGCTTAAGTTGCTATGTGAGAATTTTGACAGAAGAATTACTATCAGGTTTATAAACTGTGTTGACTTATGGGAATTTGAAATCAGTATTCCTTCAGGTTTTTGCCTTTAAACAGTTGTCCACTGCATGTGGCCAGGTGGCCGTAAGCGGACCATAAACTACGTGACAAGGAGTAGGAACAGTTTTAGACTGTGTAATGGTGAAAATCAAGCCTGAGTGGAGTTCACTAACTCTGATAAATCGGTTAAATGGCTGAGCTCTAAGAACATTCTCTTGTTCTCCACCAGTCCCTGGCCATTCTCTTTGAGCCCATCCATTGACTCTTTGTGTCAGTGGGAAATACTAGAAACGTTGTAAGTACAAATTTATTGCTTTTAATGGAAAAAGATACTTTCCCTGCTTTCTGTTCTGAATCTGTTTCTTTCCTTCATTATTTCATTAGATTTCAAAGATTTCAATAGACAAAAGCTGAATTACATAGTGAACAGCCACATGTCCTCCACTGATATTCTAGTGAGCTTTTTGCAGTACTCATTTTACCATCCACCCATCCCTCCATCAATTCATAGTGTTTACAGGGCCTTCCTGGTAGCCCAAGGATTAAGTCTCAGCGCTATCACTGATATGGCCTGAATTTGAATCAGCCAGAGACACCCACATATGGTCCAGCAAACCTCTCCTGTCTCATCCACTGTACCCCTCAACAATGTATTTCAGTGGATCCACTTGTTTTGCTCCCCACTCTGACTCTGGTAAATCCTCTCACCTTTTACACCTCTGGCCTACACTCCAGTTCTTCTATGCAAAAACAAAACAAACAAACAAACAAACCCACAGTGTTTTCCAGCTAAGGTGCAGGTGTCAGCATACGTCTCCTCTCCAAATACTTCAGCATGCATAGGGCTAAATAGAGTAAATATCTGTTTAAGACTTTTAATTTTGAGGTAAAGTTTATATTCAGTGAAATGCTTATATTTTAATCTTCCTACCTGAGGAGTTCTGACAAGGGTATATACCTCTTTACTGAACCCCCCTTCAAGATGTAGAACATTTCCATCACTCAGAAAACTTCCTCTGGGGTTTTGGAACCTGAATCTTACATTACTACCTCACGGAATCTGAAGCTATAAGTAGTGATTCAGTAAGTTGACTAGTGATAAATTATCAGTTAAGCAGTTTAGTTTCTGTTTCCTTTGAGAGAGAAATAAAATTGGAGCAGAAGCTGGGTGCCAGTTGTTTTAATTCTTGTTTTTTAATTCTAGTTGCTTTAGTTCTTGTATGCTAATTACATTCTCATTGTCCTGCCAGTTGAGTACAAAGAACACCCACTAAGTGGAAAGAATAACTTATGTAGCTAGGCTTCCACTGGAGATACTGGTATGTTTGCTAAAATGTGTATCTTTAGAAGTTGTTACTAAATGCATTCACCCATCTGCGTGTTAAGCCAAATTTACAGGGCTTGGTTGGTTATTTCTTGCAATTTTTTAAAGTTAGAGATACTAGTGTCATTTATTCAAAATGTTTCATCATTTCCAAAAACTTTGCCATAATCTACTATCATGCTTTTAGGGCAAAATTAATGAAATTCACCTTTAAAAGAGTTGTGGGTCTACTGTTAGCACTACTGATCATAAATGTGGACTGTGATGTTGTTTTAATATTACTGGAGGCAATTTCTAGGAATTCTTGGCAAAACATACTGATGTTGGAGTCAGACCAACAACCTAAGTCTGATTACTTGTTGGCTACATGACTTTCAGCATCATTTACTCCTCAGTTTCTTTGTCTATGAGATAGTGAGAAGATATGTCTCTATTTCATGGATTTGTTGAAAGGATTGAATGTAAAAAGTCTGGTTCAATGCTTAGCACATGTAATTTGTAAATGTTAGTCAATGTGGTTATTTTAGTAAGGACTGGCTTTGTTGTTTGGAACATCACTGGTACTATTTGTAAATCTCAGGAAATATAGTGATTGTGTTTAAGATATCACATATTGTTTATCTAGCTTCTCAGTCTCTCAAAAGACAATCCACAGCTTTACATTTTTAGTAATATTTATAAAGAATCAGATTGAGGGCCCTCCCTCATGGCACAACAGGTTAAAGCACAGCACTATGAAGCTGTTCCCAGCCACTGAAGCATAAGTTTGATCCCCAGCCATGGAGGTGACCCATATGGTGCAGCAGACCTCTCCTGACCCCAGTGTACTTTGTCAGTCTGTCTGTTCTGCTCCCCACTCTGTCTCTGGTGAATCCTCTCACCCCCCACACCTCTGGCCTATATCCCAGTTCTTGTATGTGTAAATAAATAAATCTTAAATAAAATAAAGAATCAGATTGAACAGCAACCAAATCCTACCAATAGCTAAAAGGAAAAAGATTTTACATCACCAAAAGTTGGTGAGTATGTGCAGCAAATAGAATTCTCAAGGATTGTGGGTAGGAATGTACAAATGGTACAAGCACATGGAAAACTGTTTAGACCTTTCTTAAAAAGTTACACAAATACCCATTTCAGTGATTCTCAAAATGTCAATAATTGCTGAGCTTGAGAAACCATTCTAATTTATTTCATGATCCACTCATTCCTGGCTTAGGTACTAATCCTGGAGTAAAGCAAACATGCTCATAAAAATGCTTTATGTGGGCCCTCCCTGGTGGCGCATTGGGTTAAAGCACTGTACTAAGAATCAAAAGCTACTTCTGCATGAGTTCGATCCCCGCCTGCCCCAGAGGTGACCACATGGCGCGGCAGACCTCTCCTGACCCGCCCGCTGCTCCCCTCAGCGGTGTGCTTCGTCGATCTGCCTCTTCTGCTCTCCACTCTCACTCTGTCTCTGGTGAAGCCTCTCACCCTCCACATCTCTGGCCTGTACCCCAGTTCTGTATGAACAAATAAATAAATCTTTAAAAAAAAATGCTTTATGTTAGAATGGATAGTAGGTTTATTGATAATAGCCCCAAACTGGAAACAACTCAGATATTCATCAATAGGAGTAAGGGTAAGTTGTGACCCTTCCATACAATGCCATACTACTGAATAGTAACAGAAAGGAACAACCTACAGGTATGTAAAACAATGTGAGTATTGAGGGAATTCCAAAATGCTGCCCCAGATATGGTACTTTATTGTGTTGAGTATGTTAAGCTAAAAGGATTTGAGAAATGGTGAGTGAAAGAAGGACATTCTGACCTTCTCTTGAAGCTTGTCACAAGTCTCTCTGTGAGCTATGGCCTCCCTGAAACTGGAGGAAAAGAGCATGCTTACTTTTGAAGGTGGAGGGCTCCAAGAGGAATCTAAATTAACAAGCTTTCTATATATTTTATGGTTTCAGGTCTTAATATTCAAGTCTTTTATACAATTTAAGTTGATTTTTGTGTATGGTGGGAGATAGTAGTCTAGCTTCATTAGTTTGCAGGTGTGCATCAGTTGTTCTGACACCATTTATTAAAGAGACTTCCCTTGCTCCAGTGTATATTCTTTTCTCTTTTGCCATTGATTAATTGATCATATATGTGTAGCTTTATTGCTGACTTTTAATTGGATTCCATAGCACCAATTCTAAAAAAGACAACTTCTCTTTAAATGGCTGCCTGGAAGACATATATATATATATGTGGCCTGTACCCCAGTTCTGATGCACAAATAAATAAATCTTTAAAATATATATATATATATGTATATATATATATATATATACACACACACGCACACACACATCATATATATAACATATAATTTACATATTCAAATTATACAGAGTTCTACACATTCTATTTTCACCCAGTACTGTTAACATATTCATAGATAATTGAATTAATTTACTTAAAGTAGAGAGCTTCTAGTTTTTGTTATTGTTGGTAAGGTGCTGAAATGATCATTTCTCTCAATGTGAATGCCAGTTCTTTGTTTCCTAAGGCTAGATTGTAAGATGTGGGAATTGCTGGAATGGGCACAAGTCCATTTAAAAGTTTATAAGGTTTTTAGCAATTTTTACTCCAACACATAATATACATATCTGGTTTTCCCTAGTCTTACAAACAAACAGTGTCCATTATCCATCTTTTAAAATCTGTGCTAAATCATTTGAAAACTTGTTTTCATCGCCAGTTCTTTTAAAATGTGAGTTGAACAATTTTGTATACCCTTGATTCTCTTTTTAAAAAGATTTATTTATTTATGCATACAAGCACTGGGGTACAGGCCAGAGGTGCATGTGTATATGTGTGTGAGAGAGAGGATTCACCAGAGACAGAGTGGGGAGCAGAACAGGCAGATTTACTGAAATATACTGCTGAGGGGAGCAGCGTGTGAGACAGAAGTGGTCCGCTGCACCATGTGGGTCAGCTCCCTGGCGGGGAATTGAACTCGTGCTGCAGTGGCTGAGAATAGCTTTATAGTACTGCCCTGGTGGTGCAGTGGATTAAAGCGTGGCACTATGAAACAGCCTTGGCTCTTCTGTTTCACTTTTTTCGCCTGTTCAAGTTTTCACCTTTTCCTTTTTTTTCTTTTTAACCTTTTCCTTTTAAGGCAAGCTTTTTCTTATTGTTTTATATCTGTGTAGCAGTATTATTTCTGTTTTCCTGGTTTGGCGTTTAGCATCATCGTTTTAGTCTTTCCAGCACCACTTCCAGTTCTGCCAATGCCGGTCTCACACGGCTAGAAGCCTAGAGGAGTGGCAAGCAGGGTTATCTGTGGCTGGGTGGACAAAGCCAGAGTAGCGAGTTTCCGGACAGGTTGGCCCCGCCCCATGCCAGTCCACCATCGCAGCAGGCGGGGCCAAGAAGCGCTCCCAATGCGCGCGCAGCTTCCGTTGCCATAGAGGCGCTTCCTACTTCAGGTATCGTGAGGAGAAGCCAACTAAGTGGTGGAAGACGCGGTACTGCGAGAGTTGCCGGCGTACGTAACGTTGACGCACGTAACGCCAGCCCCGCCTTAAGGCGCCTGCGCATTGTGTCTGTTAGGAACTTCGGGCCACTGTCGGCCAGAATTTGGCTGAGGTGCCACCGGGAGGCGGTTTCCCTCTACTGGTGTCGCGAGGGCGGCTCCGGGATCCTTCTCGGCCTCCGAGCACGCCACCTCATTTACCTGCGGCGGGAGGGCGCCGCGACTCAAAGAAAGGAGAGACCGTCTCGGAAAGCAGCCCCGGGAGCGAAGTGGAGAATGGCCCCGTTGAGTGCGGGGGAGCGCACAGCCGCTGTTGACTCTGGGGGCCGAGGTGGGCGTGAGCGAAGGTAATCCTCGCCCGAGGTCCGGCCCTGCGTAGACTTCCCAGTAGGTGAGGCTGGCGCTGGGACTGAAGCTGCGTCAGGTCCACTGGAACTTGGGACTCACTTCTACCAGATTGAATGAGACCTGGGGTGCCCCTGGCCCAAAGTGATACACACTAGCGGTTATGTTCACCGTTGCTGGGAGGCGTTGGCAGGAACACTTCCAAACTCCCTTTTAAGAGTTCATTGAAGAGGTAACAACTGTTGATGAGATCTTGTGGGTTCTGTGCTAGGCCCTTAAATTTTGCCGCTACTCCCTTTGTGGATTTGGGCAGAGGACTAATACACCTTCCTATTCGATTCTGCAAAATATAATGGCAAAACTGACCCCCTGGCTGAATTGTGATGCCACAAAGCTCTATGAAGTGCTTAATGAAAGGGGCACAGGAACACTGACTGGGAAATTGCCCCTTATATTCAGTAAGCCACTGCTGTTGAAATACTTTCAGTCATGCATTGAAGTGCCGGGAGTGAAGTTGAAATGCATGCTGATGACTCACTCAGAACCTGATCAGAAGAGTACTTTTTGTGCTAAGTATGCTGTCCATTCATTTATTTGATAGGTACTTACACTGTATGTGTATAAACCACTGTTCTGACCTCCGGGATTGCTCCACAAGTAAATAAAACAAAGATCCCTGCCCCGTGGAGCTTACATTTTAGTTTGGGGGAGACAAGTAGTAAGCAATAAGCATAAGTAAATATATGTTAGAAGGAAAAGAGGGCTATGGAACAAAGAAAAACTATACAACAGGCTAATGGGCATTGGGAATGCAAGATGCAACTTGAGTTGTAAGGTGAGGTTTCACAGAGGATATTACACTTTGGGTAAATACCTGAAGGACTTGAGGGAAGGCACTGTGCAGATGCCTTCCAGGCAGAGACAGTGACCACTGCAAAGCCTTGCAGCTTGTATGCTACCTGGTGTCTTCAGTGAATGAGAAAGCTTGTAGGATTGGAGCAGAAAGTGAAAGAGACAGTAGGTTAGAGTAGGGCATGAATCTTCAAGTGCTCTATGGGCTACTGCGAGGACTTTGACATTTACTTGCAGTGAAGTGGGGAGCTGTGATTCAATTGAGTAGCACAGCAGCGCTGTGACAGGTTTACTCTGGTCAGGATATTTCAGAACAGAATGGAGGTAAAGGATACAGCAAAGAGATCTATTAAGAGGCTGTGGCAGTGACCCAGGAGAGAGTTAACAGGGTTTGCAGACAGGAGGCTAGGGACTGGAGGTGAGGGAGGAGGGTTGGATTCTGGCAAGCTGATAGTAGGAAGCATGTTTGGAGAAGTAGATGAGCAGTTGTGAATTGACCTGAACGTGATGGAGTAGAAAAGTTGTTCTTACACGAAGGTAATTATTTATTAGCATAAATAAGATTGGAGTGATTACCTACAACCATTAGTTAGATGTGAAATTACGGACTAAAGTCACTTTTTCCCCAAAATGCAGCTGAAATCAAATAATGTTTGTAGTTTCCAGTAAGCACACTGAATTAAAACATAATAACTTGTAATAAACTTTTTTTTTTGCTCTTAATTTAGGGTTTTAGTGAATCTGATTATTTAGGATTTTAGTGAATGTGAAAATGCCTCCTTTGATCTTTGAGGAATTTGTCTAAATATGGTTGCTAACAGTAAAAATAAATGATGGGTAGTTGTGACTATTAACCTCAGATTACATGTAACTTGCAAATTTACCATGGCATACAGAAATGAGAGAAGATACTTGTTACTGTCAGACAACTTAGTTGAGTGGATAGATTTGTAAATAGTTTAAGCATAAAGTATAAAAAAAGTATCCTAAAAGAACAGTACAAAGTAAATGATAAAGAGTATGTCTTCTGTATATCATTATACTTATAGTGGTGATAGCTCACCTGTATTTCCCATTTTAATCATCAAACTGGCTTTGTGCAGTGGTGAGCAAGTTACCAATTTTTCTACTTTAAACAAATTTATATTGTTTAGCTAAAGTCACTGAATATGCTGAATTCACATTAAATATGCTAAATTCACTGAATAACCCATGAAGCATTTATTAACATTGTGCTAGCAAGGGCTGTGTAATAATCATTGCTGAATCTGCTGGAATTTAGTTTTCCAACTATGTCATTAAGCCATGTGTCTTCTGTCATATCCTTTTCATCTGTGGATATGAGTTTTTGTTTTCTTAGGCACTGTTAGAACACAGAATGTAGAATGAGTGTTGTTTGTATGTTCAGGTTAAAATTCTTTCAAAATGTGTTAGGTTTTAGTGGCAAACAGAAATAATATTTTATATACAGCGTTGTGGCACTGGCCAGATGAGACAGAAACATGTACTTTAGAATCTTGCCACTGTGAAGTCTAGGTCACTTTCCGTGTTGAGCAGAGGAGGCTAACTAGTCAAGTTAAGCAAGGTTAACAATCAGTACAGGGATGATTGTTAGTTTGTGGCTTATCATGATTAACAAGCAGTATAGGGATGATTTTTAGTTTGTGGCTTATAACAGTGACAGTATCACCAGAGTGCTAGAGAATAAAATCTTGATAGAGGACTTAGTCACCAGCACAGTAGGTGAAGCAGTGGATGCTGGTAGAGCCTGGTAACAGGACCAATACTGGGTTAAAATCCAGAATTCTTTCCTGGAAGAAGGTGAAATTTGGAGGTAGCACAAAAATAAGCCAAAAGTTACGTATAGAGCTTGTACAAAGGTCATGTTCAGGGAGGAATTGCTGAGATTGTTGGGGCCCTGTGGGTAGAATCTCAGCCATGACTAAAAGAGAGCTTTGGGGAGTAGCTAGGTGGATGATGATGGTGGTAAGATCTTTCACTTATGGTGGTATATTTTTTGGTATATGCTTTTTGTATACTAGTATGTTTTATCATTAAGAAAATGATAGCTCATCTTTTATTAAAACAAATTTTTTTAAAAAGATTTATTTGTACATTCAAGAACTGGGGTACAGACCAGAGGTACGGGGATGAGAAGATTCCCCAGAGACAGAGTGGGAACAGAATAGGCAGATTGAAACACTGCTGAGGGGAGCAGTGGGTGAGACAGGAAAGGTCTACTATGCCACATGGGTCACCTCCCTGCTCTGCAGTGGCTGTGGAGAGCTTCATCGTGCGCGCTTTAACCTGTTATGCCACCAGGGAGGGCCCTATAGCTCATTTTTTAAAGACTGAGAAACTGAGGTTGAAAGATGTAATTTGCGTAAGACTACTTACTAAGTGGTAAGTGGCAGAGCTGAAATTTGAGCCCAAATCTTTCGGCTATCAAAGCCCTTTTGTTATTTCTTTATTCTTTTACTTTTTTTTTTTTTTTTTTTTGGTTCTTTGGTTCTTTTATTTCCTCATGTTGTAACAGTGTCTGTTAACCATTATGCAGTGTGTTATGAGTCTGGCCCTTTTTGTGATACACAAATGACTTGCCATTCACTAATAAATGTTTCATTTAATCATGTGTTTTCTTTTTCTAGATTTTAATTTAATTTGAAAATGAGTAAGTGCAGAAAAGCTCCACTGGGTTCAGGTCCTGAGACATTCAGCCCAGATGTTCTTGCTGACATTGTTGAACTGTTTGCCAAAAACTTTTCTTATGGCAAGCCACTTAATAATGAGTGGCAGTTACCAGATATGAATGAGGTTTTCACTTGTGACCATGTGGAATTTAATGCATTTCTTGATTTGAAGAACTCACTAAATGAAGTAAAAAATCTACTGAGTGATAAGAAACTGGATGAATGGCACGAACACACTGCTTTCACCAACAAAGCGGGAAAAATAATTTCTCACGTGAAAAAATGTGTGAATGCTGAGCTTTGTACTCAAGCATGGTGTAAGTTTCACGAGATTTTGTGCAGCTTTCCTCTTATTCCACAGGAAGCTTTTCAGAATGGAAAACTGACTTCCCTACACCTTTGCGAAGCTCCTGGAGCTTTCATAGCCAGTCTCAATCACTACTTAAAATCCCACCGATTCCCCTGTGAGTGGAGTTGGGTAGCTAATACCCTCAATCCATACCATGAAGCAAATGATAATCTTATGATGATTATGGATGACCGACTTATTGCCAATACCTTACGTTGCTGGTACTTTGGTCCAGATAACACTGGTGATATCATGACCTTAAAATATCTCACTGGACTTCAGAATTTTACAAGCACCATGGATACCATTCTCTTGATCACTGCAGATGGGAGTTTTGATTGCCAGGGAAACCCCGGGGAACAAGAAGCTTTAGTCTCATCTCTGCATTATTGTGAAGCTGTCACTGCTCTAATGACTCTTGGGAATGGTGGCTCTTTTGTTCTGAAGATGTTTACTTTGTTCGAACATTGTTCCATAAACCTGATGTACCTGCTGAACTGTTCTTTTGACCAAGTCTGTGTTTTCAAACCTGCCACTAGCAAGGCAGGAAACTCAGAAGTCTATGTGGTGTGTCTCTACTATAAGGGACAAGAGGCCATCTACCCCCTGTTATCGAAGATGGTGCAGCATTTTGGGACTGAAATGACCAGGAAAGCACTCTTTCCCCATCATGTGATTCCCGAATCTTTTCTTAAGAAACACGAAGAATGTTGTGTGTTCTTTCATAAATATCAGCTACAGACTATTTCTGAGAACATTCGTCTGTTTGAGTGCATGGGAAAAGAGGAAGAAGCAAAACTGAATAACTTAAGGGACTGTGCTGTTCAGTATTTCCTGAAAAAGTTTCAATTGAAACCTCTTTCCAGAAGTAATTGGCTAGTTAAAAAATCTAATATTGGGTGTAGTACAAATACAAAATGGTTTGGACAGAGGAACAGGTATTTTAGGACCTATAATGAAAGGAAGGTACTGGAAACGCTTTCATGGAAAGATAAGGTGGCGAAAGGATACTTTAATAGTTGGGCTGAAGAGCATGCTGCCTACCAGCCTGGGCAAGGGTCTTTTTTAGAAGGAACAGCTTCTAATCTGGAGTGTCACTTATGGCATGTTTTAGAGGGGAAGAAACTGCCAAAAGTAAAGTGCTCTCCTTTTTGTGATGGTGAAATTTTAAAGGCTCTTAATGAAGCAATTGAAAAATCATTAGGAGGAGCTTTGAATTTGGATCCAAGTTTTAGGCCAAAGCAGCAGTATTATTGTTCTTGTCATGTTTTTTCTGAAGAGCTGATATTTTCTGAGTTGTTTAGCCTTGCCAGAGACCTTCAGGATGAGCAACTTGTAGAACCCAACAGCCAGATAAAGTGCTTGCTTGTTGGTTTTTCAGCTCTTCATGATACCAAGATACATTTGCCACTGGAAATTGTCCAAGAGTCCGCTGAACTCAAGACTTTTAGTTGTTCGTTGCTTCACGATGGAGACCCAGCTTACCAGCGGTTGTTTTTGAATTGCCTTCTGCATTCGTTGCAGCAACTTCATACAGGAGATGCTATGGTTTTGCCTGTACTCTCTTGTTTTACGAGGTTTATGGCTGGTTTGATCTTTGTCCTCCACAGTTGTTTCAGATTCATCACATTTTCTTGTCCTACATCTTCTGAGCCCCTGAGAACCTGTGCAGTTCTGCTCTGTGTTGGTTATCAGGACCTCCCAAATCCAGTGTTCCAGTATCTTCAGAATGTGAGTGAATTGTTGAGTGCTTTACTCCACTCTGATGCACCCCAGCAGATTTTACAGTTTGTGCCAATGGAGGTGCTCCTCAAGGGGGCACTACTTGATTTTTTGTGGGATTTGAATGCCGCCATTGCTAAAAGGCATTTGCATTTGATTATTCAAGGAGAGCAAGAAGAAATCACCAGTCTTGAGTTATGAGCAGTCTTGAGTTATGAAATTGAACTTACTCTTTCTGGGATTCAGCTTTATGGCTTCTTACAGTTTGCAATGAAATGTTACTGCATTCCTTTGCTGTGTTTATTTAAAAACCTACATTTTGGGGATAGATCAACTTTTGTATCTTTTTAAGTCTCATTTCTGGAAAGCCATTATCTAATTCTGATCTCTAAGCTACTTATACCCACAGTTTCCACGTGGTGGGATCTGTGCAGCGATGATCTTCAACCTCAAACACAAGATTCACGTATGTCCTTGGGGTGGACACACTTCTGGTTGCATATGCAGTTTAGTTGGTCTTATTTTTCCTTAAGGTTTGCACCTGTGTGCCTTACTTCAGATTCGATTTTTTTTTCTCAATGAATTACCTCTTAATGGCTAATTCTTTATGAATTCATCTTGGGTAGAAGGATGTGCATCACTCCTCAACTACACAGCCCTTAACATTTACCATGTCAATTATGGATTCAGGGAACTCATCAGGGAACTTTCTTGATATAGGCCATTCATTCCCTTTAAGTCATTGACCCAGTTGACTTTTAAGGTTCAAATTCAGTTAGTGTGCTGTTCTAAATATATTTACCACCCACAGTCATCCAACTAGAAAGGATGTCAGGACAGCTTCAAACCAAAGATCATGTTTAAAAAAATGAAAATTGTGTCTGATTTACTTCTGTATCATGAAAAACTTCATTTAGTAACTATGTAGTAGTATTTAGCTTCCAGGAAATAATCTGTGAAATAAAAGATTTTTTAAATTGCAAAATAATGTTTATGATCTCATTGGGGAACCTATGAATGTGCTAAATATAGTAAATAACTTAAAAATTTTTTTAACACTTTCAGACTGATTGCTCAGCTTAAGAATTTTTTTCTTAAATCACTTTATGATGTAAACATTAATAAAATTATTAAATATACATATGTGTAAGTGACGGTTGTTATATACATTAAACATTTAGTATAATCACGTAAATATGGATGACTCGGTTTGGTCACAGTTTGTATTAGAGCTTCGCCTGACCTACTCTTGTATTTATTTGGTCCTCAGCTCTGGTCACTGCTTCTATAGGACAGTCTTCTCTGTTGTCCCTCATGCTTTTTAAAACTGGGTGTCATGCCAATTCTACTTTTATTTCTTATTTTGTATATTTCTTGAGAAAATAGAGTGGGTTCCCATTGAAGGTGTTTTTCTTCCTTTTCCTTTGAAATTTTTTTGGCTTGTTTCATTTTCAGCATTTCTATTAAGCTTTGAAAGCAATCTGTCCTCATTCACACAATCTAGAAAAACAAACCTCAGGCAGCAGAGGAGGGTAAGGAGTAAGGAAGTCCCATCAGCAAAGAGAAGGGGTTGGGTTGGTGGGCTGCCTTGGTTTGGCAACCAGTATCTCAGGGAATCTGTGGTCACCTCAGAGCATTCCTATTTCTGGTGATCCCAGGCCAGTGGGGTCAACCCCTGCTCACCTACCTCAGCTCAAGCCCCCCCAAGTGGGTGGGCAACTGTAGCACTGTGATTCTGGTTACATCCAGGGCTTACTTCATTCTGAACAGTAAAATAAGCTTGCATTTGCATAACTTTCTGGTTTTTAACATTTCTCCATTTGAATCTTAGAGCTGAATAAAACAAAAAGAGGATAGCATTTCATTATTTTACAATTGGAAAAAGCCCCAGTGAAGTCCAGATGTCCTCACTACCCACAGTTCCACCACCCCTTTCCAGAGCTTTCCCCATTTAAGTTGCAAGTTCCTGAAGGAAGAAACAAATGTTTTTTTCTTGGCTGCTTAAAAACTTTTTTTTAATGATTAATTTTTTTTTTAAGATTTATTTATTCATACAGAACTGGGGTACAGGCCAGAGGCTCAGGGGCGGTGAGAGGCTTCACCAGAGACAGAGTGGGGAGCAGAACAGGCAGATCGATGAAGTACACTGCTGAGGGAAGCAGCGGGCGGGTCAGGAGAGGTCTGGCTCGCCATGTGGTCTCCTCCGGGGCAGGTGGCAGGCGGGAATCGAACTCATGCGAAAGTGGCTTCAGATTCTCAGTGCTGTGCTTTAACCCGCTGCGCCACCAGGGAGGGCCAATGATTAATTTTTAATTGAGGGAATGCTGGGATACTTCCATCTAGTATAACCCCACATTGTACCCACCACCATCTTTACTAATTTCTTTTTTTTTTTTTAAAGATTTATTTATTTGTGCATACAGAACTGGGGTGCAGGCCAGAGGTTCAGGGGCGGTGAGAGGCTTCACCAGAGACGGAGTGGGGAACAGAACAGGCAGATCGACGAAGTACACTGCTGAGGGGAGCAGCGGGCGGGTCAGGAGAGGTCTGCCTCGCCATGTGGTCACCTCCAGGGAAGGCGGGAATCGAACTCATGCGGAAGCGGCTTTAGATTCTCAGTGCTGTGCTTTAACCCGCTGCACCACCAGGGAGGGCCACTAATTTCTTTTTTAAAAAAGATTTATTTATTCATACAGAACTGGGGTACAGGCCAGAGGTGCAGGGGTGGTGAGAGGAATTCACCAGAGACAGTGGGGAGCAGAGCAGGCCAACTGACGAAGTATACCGCTGATGGGAGCAGTGGGCAGGCCAGGAGAGGTCTGCCTGGCCATGTGGGTTACCTCTGGGGCGGGGATTGAACTCATGATGAAATGACCTTAGCTTCTTAGTGCTGTGCTTTAACCTGCTACGCCACCAGGGAGGGCCCACTAATTTCTTATGAAGATAATACTTCACCAAAATAATAACCCATGAGATGGCTTTTACCAATTACATTTGATTTCTTTTGAATTGCATATATTTGACAATGTAAATGAGCTATTCTGGAAAATTTTTAAGCAAATATTATATTGAAATGTTGCACAGTGAAGAATATATTCTCGTGTGAGTTTTAGGCATTTTATATAAAAATAGATGTATTCTCAGATGTATTTGGTTGATAAATATTAATCTGAAATTTTTTCATGTTCTTTGCCATTTTGAATTCCATTATAGATTAATGAATAAAGTCATTAGCAGGAAGATTTTGTGTTCATCTTTTTAAAAAAGAATCTTTTAAAAGAAGTTAAAAATACTGCTTGGAAACAGATTTTTTTTTTAAAGGAAGGTTTGAATGGGAGTTAATGTTCCTCATTTCCTCTGATTTGTATTCATTAAAATTTAGTCCTTAATATTGTATTATTTATGGAAGTTCTACTTTGAGAAAGAAAGTGAATACTTCAGGGAGAGAGGAGTGAGTGTAGATTTAGTACTTACCAGGAAAGAGTGATGATCAGGATGTGAAAGAAGTGTGATTTTTTTATTAGTGACTTTATGGAAGCAATTCTGAGTAATGGTGGAAGTCTGATAGAAAATTAGCAAGAGACAGTTAAAAACCACTCATGGGAAGCCATTTTGCATTTGATAGTCTTCACACCTTGTTAGGTTTGATCCAGTATAGTATAGTTTATTTTTACTTGTTTTAACCACTTGACTAAAGTAAAGTTGAAAGCCTAGGGCCAGATTCTGGCATTTAAAGCTTTCAGTTAAGTATTGAATGTTTAACTAATAATGGATCTCTACTGCAATATAAACCTTACTGGAGTCTGCTAATATATTTTGGGTTTTGACCTGGCTTTTAGAATCAGGTTCAGTTCATTTGATTTTTGAATTAAGATTTACTTTAGCAGCATGATATGACTTGAAGATTCAGATTGAACTTGTTGTAGATGATAATGTACCAGTGAACTATAGAATTTTCTCTGAGAATATGAGGGGGAAAGTAGAGACTAGTGAAAAAGTAGAAGACAGTTGAGAGATGCTTTGTGTGGGTAATCAAGATAGTGTTCTTTAAAAAAATGTTTTAGGTAGATGTTGAGGTTTTTAATTGTGCTTTTTTGAAAAGGAAATTTTAGTAGCCAAGAAAATTTAAACTTCATGTATTTATTTCCTAAGAGACATTAGGTGACAAAGAGGTCTTGTATGTTTAATTTCTTTAATATTAACTTCCTCACTGTGAAAAATAAAGTTTAGTGGAGGCTTTTTTTGCGCGTTATCCTAATGTTACTGAAATATTTAAACAAGTTCAAATATCTTCTGAGGGCCCTCCCTGGAGCTGCAGCGGGTTAAAGCACAGCACTGTGAGGCTAGCCACAGCTATTTCAGCAGAGAGTTGAATCCCTGGCCAGGGAGAGGACCTACAGGGCACAGCAGATATCCCCTGTCTCACTTGCTGCTCCCCTTGGCAGTGTACTTTGTCAGTCTTCCAGTTCTGCTCTCCACTGTCTCTGGTGAATTCTTTTACCACCTCTGCATCTCTGGCCTGTACCCCAGTTTTGTATGCATAAACATTTTTTTTGAAAAAAAAGTTTTTCTGAAATTTAAAATCCATGTACATGTACCGTACACCCATCTTTTAAGTTTCTTTTTTGCCTAAAGACATTTGTGTTAATTTTTTTCAACTCCAAAGATCTTGAAGTGAAATGAAAGATCAAAATGTTAGAAGAGATGAAAAACCTGTGTATTGGTGCTATTGTTATTTTACTTATCTTTGATGATTATACTAGGCATTTAGAAATATTTAAATCTTATCTTGCATTTCCAGATGAGATCATTAATTGAATAGTTTTAAATTAGTTTCAGTGCAGTATGTGGGTATATGAAATCAGTTAATCCCTCACATTTTATTTTAGAAATAAAAATGATCATAAACCCAACCAAAATCACTTTCCAAGTTTAACTATTCTTTATTGAATAATTGGGCAACTTTGATGATCTCTTGTGTTTTTACTTTGTAAGATGAAAGAAACATTTCATAGAACATTTTTAGTTTTGTTTTTAAAATTGTTTTAAGCAGTTAATGTTTATCACTTAAGATTTATTTTTATTTTATGCATACAGCAGCTGGAAATGTGAGGGGTTGAGAGGATTCACCAGAGACAGAGTGAGGAGCAGAACAGACAAATCTACTGAAATACACTGCTGAGGGGAGCAGCGGGTGAAACAGGAGAGGTCTGCTGTGCCATGGGGGTCAGTTCCCTGGCCAGGGATGATTATGCTACAGGTAGCTTCATAATACTGAGACTTACCCCTTGCACCACCAGAAAGCCCCCTGTTTATTACTTTCTGTACATACAATGTGTGCTTATAAAGATTTTAAACAAAGTATGAAAGATTTTCTATTTCTGATGTAAAAATAGTGCAGTGTTTACTGATGTGTATTGATGCTTTGTGGCTTGGTTAAAATAATTTGATACACCTGTAAATATTTTCTGCTAACATGATGAAAAATTAAACAGGTCACATAGATATGGCTGCTAATTTGTTTATTGTGTAGTTAGTATTGAAGAAAGACTCAGTTTGATAATAGGTGGCATCTACCTTTTTTTTCTCTCTTAATTTACTGGATTAAAACTCACTTCAGGCTGATTTTAGGATAAAACAAATATTTTAGCTTTCCCTGACAAATGGATGGCCTCATATCTAAGGAGCAAGTAAAAAGCGTGATACTACATAGTATAATAATATATAGCTGTGTTTTAGGGTGTGTAATTAAAATAGTAATCCTAATTTATGAGTTGTTGCTTATTATATACTTCTAATCAATGCATTCTGTAATTAGTTTATATAAAAATAGTGATTTTTGAAATGAGTTCTTTTTTCCCCCATTCCATTACTAAATCTTAATACTTGTTTTTCTTGGTTTTGGTCAATATAGAAAGTGAAAGTAATTTATTACTACATAAGTACAAGTTTATATTGGAATATTTTGGGAAAAGAGAAAGCTGCTTACCTCACAACTGTGTGATATTAGTTGTTCTTTTTAGTGAAAATATTTAGATATTACCTGTCAGCATGCATTAGCACTGAATTTCAT